AAAAAATTCACTATAGCTCTATAGCGAAGTTGAAGTTCAGGACATAAAATTCGTTATATCAAGGGTTGACTGTACAACCCTCCATCATTTGCAAAATAGTGATTCTAAAATACCGGCTAATTCTGAGGATGATGAGTTCATCAGTGATCCTATGGAGGTAGACTTTATTCAAAAAAAACCTGCCACAGACATTGCCACTATTAAATGTAAATTAAGCGTCTAATAATTCCAGCAGATACAGTTGATCCTGATATCAATTTCGCAATTATGTCTAAGGATATAACCAAATGATCAAAGCTAGAAATTGATATAAAAGAAAAACATAATCTCAGAGGCATTTCTACTACTCCTATAGAATCGCTTAGAATTGTTAGAAATGTTCTAGTAAATTTTGCTTCTGGATATACTATATACACTGATTTTGCAGTAATTAAGTATTATAAGCTGATGCTGATCTTATCCAACACACTTCTCGATAAATATAATTATGATTTACTTGCATCAAAATAAGAATTGAGACTAGAGTATAATGAAAAGGAATTTTTTATCCCAATTAATATGCATAAGGTCAAGAACAAGCTCAAGGTGAATTGCGCTAATATTACTCCTGAATGTGATGATCTGTCAGATCTGAACAAAGTTTCTCAAGATTTGCAGAACTTAAGTGAAGATAATGATGCATTAAAAAAATCACATGAGTTACAAAGAACTTAAAAAATATTGTACGATTCTCTCAAGTCTAAAGCAACACTCAATGACATATGTAGAAGATTGCAGATTCGTTATAATAAGCTATTAGGTAGTAGCTAATAAGCGATCTGTTTCTGCTTTGCTCTTTTCATCTTCCTTAACTTTCTTCTTATAAAATACTCTTAAATCTTCTCCATATAATCCTCTATCTTGAGTGACTTCAGCTGAGTTTTCTAGAGTTAGTTTAGTTTGAATGGTATCGGGAGAGGACAAAAGTATTGCATGGTTTTGATTTAAATATTTTAGTTAATTTATCATATGTAACTAAGCCATATTTTTTTGTAAGATATTGATTATCGATTACATAAATGAAATATTTTTATTATAGTTTGAATTAATATATTACAATTCGTTAAATTGAATTTGAAAATACTTCTAAAGTTCGCTTTAGTGTAAGTGATAGTATAATTAAAGGACTTATCTTTTAGAAAAGTACAGTCAACTCTTTCTACAGCGAATTTTGATATAACGAATTTTACAATACAACAGATTTTCAGTGTCAGACAGATT